AGCTTTTCATCCATCAGTACCCCCAAGTCCCTCTCAGCAGGGCTGCTCTCGATCCTTTCTTCCCCCAGCCTGTACTGATACTGGGGGTTACCCCGACCCAGGTGCAGGACCTTGCACTTGGCCTTGTTGAACCTCATGAGGTTCACACAGGCCCACCTCTCCAGGTCTCTCTGGGTGTCAGCCGCACCACTCAGCTTGGTGTCATCCACAAACTTGCTGAGGGTGCACTCGATCTCACTGTCTAAGTCATTGATGAAAACATTAAAGAGCACCGGTCCCAGTACGGACCCCTGAGGGACACCACTCGTCACCGGTCTCCATCCGGACATCGAGCCATTGACCACTACCCTCTGGACGCGACCATCCAGCCAGTTCCTTATCCACCAAACAGTCCACCCATCAAATCCATAGCTCTCCAATTTAGAGAGAAGGATGTTGTGGGGGACCGTGTCAAAGGCTTTGCAGAAGTCCAGATAGATGATGTCCATTGGTTTTCCTTTGTCCACTGATAGTACATTTTATGTATTTATACCTTTAGAGTATATTTATTATATGTCAGTGTCTGCTTTGCTGGCATGGGCTCTTTGAAGGGTTTTGGGGTTTGGGTTTTTTTTCATTTTGGGAGAGCAGACATGATTCAAAATTTATTTCCCATGTATTTAGGAAATTTTAACTAATATTCTCAGACTGGAATCTGAGAAATTTGAATAGAATATGTCATCAGCTGGCATGACTACACACTTAATAATGGAAATCACTGAAAAAACTTCAGCTCATTTAACAAGGATGTTTAAAATCTTTAAAGAAAAGTGGGCCTTCAAAGCAAATTCCTACTTAATCACGTTATTTATTTATTTACAAATCTGGTGACAAAAATTCAAAACTATTCTTAAACCCAAGGCTTCTTTATTTCATTTAGCAAAATAAGTTAACTTACCGTCCAAGACTAAGGGAAAAGCAGATTTGTCTTGTTGAAAACCACAAATGTAGACTTTTTTTTTTAACTTCCATTTTACTGAAACTAAGAAGTAGCTTCTCATTCAAAACTCTTCAACATCCTACAAAATCTTTCATCTTGACCCCTTGAAAGAAGGCACCATGAGATTAATTGCATATTAAAGACAGCCTTCAAATATATTTCCTTAATGCCTCCATACACAGAAACAACTACCTTCTTCAACCCTATTCCTGGAGGTTCTAGGGGAAAGGACAGGAATCAGTCAATCCCAGGCTCTCTGCTTCAGGAGTAAGAGACTCAGTATCAGAGGACTTGCCAGTGGTGGCACATGCGTTGGCAGTTAAAGCCTTTCAAGTAAAAGTCTGCAAAACAGGAAGTTTTGCAAATCTCTGAAAAATTTCCACATGGACCTTGAGTACTTGACCACAACTGTGCATTCCTTTGGGTTTCTATAGGAGGTATGAGGAGAACCACCTTGTTTTCCTCTGTAGGAGGATGAAATTAAATTTGTTCTATGAGCTCATCTGAGAGTATATGGGACTGAATAATATAATCTGTTTGCACTCATTCAAGACCCTAATGAGAAGGCACCCAGAGGCAGCTGTGTGTACATTTCATTCCTCAGCAAAGTCAAATATCCTTTCCTAATGTGACATCCTCTCCCATGGTATTAAACCAAGCATTTCAGTTGGGGTGAAAAGATTCACTTCTAGTTCTCCTTCCCCCCCAGAAGACAACCTGAAGTGTCATTTCTTGTTCCACAGACACTCAATTTATAGCACAGCATATATGAAACCATGTTCTTGGGTACACTGAGCCTCCAACCTCAACTGATACAGTTTATATTCTCCATGTGCAGCAACTAACATTTTTCCCACTTGGAAATGCCCCCCTGCTCCTCCAAACATGGTCTGCTTGCAGAGTTTTTGGAGACTCAGGAGTGCTTTTCAATAGCCCTTATCTCTGTTTGAACCCACCTGGGTACCAAAAAATACAAGTTTCTCTCGGTGGGTCTCTCAAAGAGCTGGCTGTTTTGAAGTTCTGGATTTACAGCTTTCCAAATTCTCCCCTCCGCTCATGTATTTTTTTATAGATTTTCCTTTTTGTGGATTAACTATGTTATTCCTTTGTCTAAGGAGATCCTTGTGCTATGGACAGCAAGATAGAAATGTTCTTTAAAAATAATTATCCTAGTTCCAAAAAAAAAACTATGAACTGTTTTTCTGAAAGCATGAAGGTACATGATGATCAACCGCAGCATACAGGAATAGTCAAAAAAGCTGTACAAAGTAGTTAAGAGAAGGAAGAAAAAGGAGAACTATAAAAGTCATATTTAATATGTTTACTATGCCAATAGTTTACAGGTCAAAGAATTGATTTCTTAGTAGCAGCATCTCACCTTTCAGCTCAGTTATTTGAGACTGAAAATATAACTTCAGTTGATACAGGTTTGTCAAGGTTTTTTTGGTTGTGGTTTGCTTTTTTTTTAAATTAAAAACAAAGCAGAGTTTTTAGAGCAAAATCAGCTTCTAAACAGGGGTAAATTAAAAGAACAAGTACATTTGATATGTTCAACTCACAAATACAAAAGAAGAACAGGTATTATAAAGATAGTCTGTTAAGAAATAAAACAAACATACTTATTCCAACCCAATATTTCTAGATCTCTGACAAGACAGGAGTAGTATTCTGGTGGCCGTGGTATATGCAGGTCTTGTGTATTCTTTAAAGCAATTTCCTGTTTAAAAGAACATTAAAAACATCATTAAGAGAGATTTCAATATTTTTGCATCTATTTAGTCATGTGATTTTTGCAATTCATTCAAAAATACTAAGCCTATGTAAAATTAACTGTACACTGCATTTGTTTTGTTATAGCCTCCAGCTAAAGCAGACAAAGAAGCTGTGTGGTAAATTACTTCAGATACTGGTAATGAAAACATCTGCAATTTAAAAAAACCCCACAGATGTTGACAACATAGTCTTCAGATGCAAATATCAATTGTGCCTCTTTTTCAGCTAATAAATTTGAAGTCAAGCATCTTGACTAAAAGAACATTTCAAAAGAAGGTTCTATTAAGCCCACAGCTGTCTCCTGGGTTCCACAGCCACAAAAGACAACACCTATATGAAATCTTCCATATTATTTTTAAGTAGCTATATACAACTTTAAATAGCAATCAAAAAAAAATTTTAAAAGAATCAATTTCTCAGTTTTAACATCATAGTATCCCAGAGAGTAAGTTTTGGTACAGACACTCATCAAGTATGTCTTAATGCGTCAAAAAAATTCTTATCAAAAAGGTAATGCCACATTACAGAGAAAATCAAAACCAAATCGTATGTTCCACATTCATGTTGTGCTACTTGTTCTTTAGAAATGTACTGAATTTACCATTACAGTTACAAGACAAATAAATTAATGAAATTTCTAAGGAAATTATTAATAATTTAAAATAAGACATTTAAATAAAATAAATAAATAGAATTAATAATAAAATCATTATAACAATAATTTCTGCTCAGTTCTCCCACTGTCTTCTGTTGTGTTTACTATCTGCACTGAGAATCGCTATTTTGAATGAATTATACTTTTATTGCACACTCCTTTTCTGAGTGCTTGTGTATCCAGGCAAACAGACTGGAATAACTATTGTGAAATATTTCAAGATAGCCACACGTAGACATCCTTATTCAGTCCTGTTCCAAACACCTTTGCCTGGCTTAGTGTAATCCAGTTTGGCAGGGATTGAACCAATAGGAAAGGCATTCCCAGCGAGAAGCAGTAGTATAATACCAGAAGGGTATTTTTGTTGTTGTTTTGAAGAATACTTATTATGTTTTATTTCTAAGTAGGTTGCACACAAGTATTCTTTGCCAAGAATGGTCCTCGAATAATGTTTTACTAACTCACAAGAAATTGTCAGTTTCGTATTGTTAACTAAAGACTTTGCTACTCTTCAATCCCAGATTAGAAAAACTTTAAAAAACAGAATAAGCAGCAGTCTCCGAACTATTAAAAAAGCTCTCTGCATTTATTGGTCAAGTTGTCACACAGGTGAAAGCACCTTCAGCAATCCACTGACTGTTTAATCCTTGGTATGATTATAAACTTTCTTTACCATCTGCACAATACCAGGAATTCCAAGAAAATCATTGTAAAGGGGATGGCGCTACACTGAGATCCCTTGCCAGAATTCTGATTTTTCTATAACACTCCAATTTCCAAAAAGTACAGTCACTTAAAATCCTAAAGGACTTTTATACATATACTATATGAACAGCATACATACAAAATCATCTCTTTTAAAAAGAAAAAAAAACAAACAGAAAACCAACATAAATCCATCTATCAAGCAGTAAACTGTAAAAAACAAAGTGAAAACCAAAGCTATAAGAACATCCCATCTTCCACATATATATTCTGTCACTTACCAAAAGAGTTTTCAGCTCCACCATAAAACTGACAAGATCTGGACAGCTATGCAACCTCTGGAGGGAACACACAGTATCAGTTTGTTTTCTTCAACTCATAACTTTTAGGGGTAAACAATTTCAGTCTAACTATCTATTTGTCTAGTATTGTCAAAGCTACTAACATAAAAAACCCCAATCGTCTATCACATGTTTAAAGAGTTCAGTTACAGAACAAATCTCCCAGAGTACAGGAAATCTTACTGAAAATTAACCATCACCTTAGTCACATCATGTCACAGTACACCATTATATAGTTTATGAAGACTTTACACTTTATGTATTTATGACTTTTACGAAGACTTTAGTCTTCACCAATGAGAACAGAAGCTTTAGAATCACTCAAAAACATTTCTTAGTTGGTTTTATTTTCTTTAGGAACTCTCCAGAGCCATCTGCTTTTAGATGCTGTACATGATTAAGGATCCCCGTCTATCTTCAGACATGGTACATATTTACAGTTCAGCTTCCTCATCTCTGTATCTTTGGTTACTCTCAGCTCACAACCCTTGTTCTACGAAGGGGTGCACAGTCCATGAGATGCAGGCTCTCAACTAGCACACGTGGCAAAGATGCCTTCTCGGAAACAAAATACTCTTCGTGCCTGCAGGGCTGTTGTATCCTTGCTCCAAAGCTTCTCTTGGATAGGAAGGTTTAACTTTTAATTCCTTGGCTGTCTACAACACAGAATGAGCTAGATCTATCAATAATTAATGTGAATTCTCTTCTTTGTATTATGAACAGTTTGTAAAAAATAAAAATGTAAAAAAGGAAAAACAAAATCTGTTTCTAATTGAGAGATTAAAGAAAAATTCCAGTGAAATGTCAGCACTTATTAAAAAAATTGCTCAAACTCAATCTTCAAAAAAAGTAAAGCTTGGATAAAAACAAATATTTACTAAATTCTATCATCTCTCTTTAGACTGACCTGCAAATCCTCAAGCATTTCAAAATAAATCTTGGCTATACAATCAGAGTTCTTTAACACTTTTAGAACAGGTGCGAAGGTATAAGCTTTTCAGAATTATTATAAGCGTACATTTAAAAGAAACGGTTTTAGAAGTTGTATACCTGCTTTAAAATATGCCGATATCCATGCAGTATCTTCTTCAGGTGCCAGCTACACTCGATCCTAGACAAACAGTATTTTGTATAAATTTTAAATTCACAGTACATGATTTTTAGAAGAGATCAGGAAGTCTGCTACACAACAACATAAAAGTTGTTCTTAAAAAAACCAAAGCATAAACAGTACTTCAAAAGTTCTTTGCGTTTTCATATTCAGTTATTTAAAAATTTCAAATGTCACTATCCCAAAGCCCATTGAAAGTTAAGCATTTACCTAGAAAAGCCTCCGTTCTTTGCTTAAAGCAATTATTGCAAGCTAATATGAGTTCATAAAATATACTAATATTTAAAAATGATATACTGAAAATGTCAAAATTACCTATAATCCAACCTAGAATAATAATTGCCGAAATTTACAACTTTGCACTGAATTTTCTGTTTCCCAAATGGTGCCACATAAGTGATCTGATTTAAATGAACTTTTTTTTTTCAGGCACATTGATTTATATGTAAATACAACCCATTCATTTAAACAGGTTTCAAACTTAATTAACAACAAAATGTTTTGATATAGCAATGTTTATTGTCAGCATTTATTAACACTGATGCTGTACAATTTTGTTGCGCAAAGTTGAAAACAGTAAGAATAAATTACCAACACTGACATTGAAAATAATAATTAATATGCATGTCCACCATTGCTTTTTTCAAAGTAAACTTTTGTTACATACAAGTTGTTTTCATAGAACTATCTTACCTGGCATTTTTCAGTTGAAAATCCATTGGTAACAGGATCCTGATATGGAAGTCTCTACCCTGGAAAACAAACATTTAGTTAATAGGAAGGCCAGGAAAGAAAAATAGTCACCCATTTGTGGGAAGTATTCCCCATAAGATCGTCTACTAAGAAAGAAAGTTTGTCTTATCTGACTTTCAGAAATATTTTTCAGAACTTCCTTATTTACAAATAAAAAGCAGCATGAATGACATGTAGAAATAATGCTGATTTTAATTCTGAAGTTGAAACACTCTTGACCTCTAACTTGCAGTGTTCAGTAAAAACTCTTCAGTGCATCACATTTCATAACGCAAAAATAACACCTTTTAGACGAAAAGCGAATGTTATCCAATTCTGGATAAAACCAGGAAATACCATTTAATCCAAGTCATGCTGAAGCACATGAAAGTCTGTCTTCAACTCGAATAAAAGTCAAAACAAACTCTTTGTCATAGTACTCTTTGTCACAAGTACTACACTAAAAAGGAACTTGGGCACTGATCCACAGCACATTTCGGAGAAGTTTTAGAAACTGTGAACAAAACCAGTCCCAAGTACACGAATGTAATTTTTTTCCCCCGTTAGTGCAATCCATATGGGGCAGTTCCTAAATGCCACCTACTTGTATTTTCAGTAATTGTCCCAATTTGTGACCCTCCATCTAATTTCTTATGGGATGACCAAAACAAAACTGAAATAAAGAAGGCTTCTGAGTAGGTTTAACTCCTCCCTGAAGAGGGCAGTTATCTCAAAAGTTGTATTCCACTCTCTTTTCCAGCTCAGCATGGTTACGCCCACAAATTCTGAGATTTCCTCAACAGAAAGAACAAAACCAGATTTCCTGCTGTGATTACATGACTGATACAGTGGACACTTTATCTCAATTTCAGAAAGGCTTTTAATACTGTTTCTCATAACATTCTCATAGACAAACTGAAGAAGGGTCAACTAGGTAAGGTGACAGTGAGGCGGACTGAAAACTTGCCCAACAGCTGGGCTCAAAGGGTTGTGATCAGCAGGACAAAGTCCAGATAGAGGTTTCTGACTAATGGTGCACACCAGGGGTCAGTCCTAGAGCCAACACTATCTGACCTTCCTTAGTGGCCCAGATGATGGAACAGGACACACCCTCACACAGCAAGTTGGCAGAGGATACAAAACTGGAGGAGTGCTTGATACATCACTTGTGCTACTGTTTAGAGGCACCTCAACAGGCTGAGGAAATGGGCTGATGGGAACCTCATGAACTTAAGAAAGGAAAGTGTAAAGTCCTGCACCAGGGGAGGATACACCCCACACAGCAGCACATGCTGGTGGCTGACCAGCTAGAGGACAGCTCTGCAGAAAAGGACCTGGCAGTCCTCACGGACATGAAGTTGACCATGAGACAGCAATGCACCCTTTGCAGCAAAGAAGGCCGACAGCCTCGTGCATTGGATTAGGCAGAGCATTGCCAACAGGTCGAGGGGGGTGATCCTTCCCCTCTGGTCAGCACCGGTGAGGCATACCTGGAGTGCTGGGTCCCTAGTACAAGAAAGGTATAGACATGCTGGAGTTAGTCCAGAGAAGAGATATGAAGGTGATTAAGAGCTTGCAGCATCTCTCATACAAGGAGTGACTGAGGGAGCTGGGAGACTGGTTAGCCTGGAGAAAAGAAGGAGCAGGGGGGAATCTTGCCAGCGTGTACAATACCTGACAGAGGAGGACTAAAGAAGGTGTAGCCAGACGCACTGGCACACACTGATGGGATGAGAGGCAATGGGTACAAGTTGAAATACAGGAAATTTCACCTAAATGCAATGAAAAAAACCTCAGTAACAGTGAGGGTGGTCAAACACCGGAACAGGCTGCCCGAGAGGTTGTGCAGTCTCCATGCTTGGAGATATTCAAAACCCAACTGGACATGGTCTTGAGCAACCTGACCCTGCTAGAGGACCTCCAAAGGTCTCTTTCAACCTTAGTGTGTCTGTGATGCTCACAAGCAAAAACAAGCTACCTGTTTCAGAGCTGAATATAGCCCACTGGCACATCAGTAGCTTCCAAACTCCTCCAAAGCTGATATTTACTGCACGCTTAAATTAAGCGCATAACCTCCGACTTTACTACGTTATGGCCATAGCCCTAATAAAAAAATCTCATCTGAGAGCAGATGCTCGCTCACATCTTAATCCTCCCATTAACTGCAGGATGCATTCTAACACACAGAGCATTTAAACAGTTGCAGCTGTTAGAGTAACACAAATATAAACACATGCTTGCAAACATCTTGTTCAAGTTGAATATGAGAGTCACCAAAAACCTTCCTGAATTTTGATTGCAAAACTACATTTCTGAAAATGCAAGCGTGACACAGCCTACATCTTTTGACTTTTACTTATTTTTATAGGAAGATAATCCCACTCTATATCTAAATGAAAATACAGCTGTCAAGAGCTGTTTCTGTGGTCCGTGCGGACGCACATGTGTGATATTTCCGTGAGCCATGGCTGTAGTGTCCCTGCATAGTGCTTCTGATGGCAAAGTTGGCTTAAGAGCATCCACTCTCAACCCGTCTTAGGTGCTGTTCTCACCGCACTACAATTTACCAGATCCTCAGAGAGACAATGCAGCTACTTCAGCTGAAACCTCACAAACACAGTAAGTGAAAGGAAAACACCCACGAGTAGTCATTTGCCTCAACCTTTACCCTAGGCCAAGAGTGCAAGCACGTTGAATCTATCCCAAAAAAGCATTCGCCAGCATAACAAATCCAGCCCACAAGGCATCAGCGAGGCCGCGCCGCCAGAAAACGCACAATTCGGCGCGCACAAAGAGCGCAAACCCGCGGGATCGCGGCACGGGCGCCTCTCCACAGCACCGGCAGGGAACCGGTCAGAGGAAGGCACCGCAAGCCGAGGGGCCCCGCTGTGCCCCGCTACGGCACGTCCTGCTTCACAAACCCGGCAGCGCCGAAGCTGCCTGCCCCGGCAAGGGGCGAGGCGGGAAGCGCTCCCTCCTCATACACACCCGGTCACGGGGCTGCCCGCGAGCGCAGGCCTCAGCGGGGAAGAGGGGGGAGGCTGACACGGAGTAACGGCGGCCCGTACCTGCGCGGTGACGAAGCCCTCGTAGGCCGTTCCCTCCCGGTTCT